ATACTGATATGGTAGGATCGGGTTGCACACCGCATGTCACGACCCCAATCCCGGTCGTGATGGCGCCCAACACTAATGCTAGGCAAGCCCGACCAAATTAAATACTCTCAACCCAAATACGCAATCCGTTAACAAATAATACGATTAAAATAGCAAATGTCAAAGTTCCACTCCGAATCTAAATAAAATAGTACGGAATATAATAACGAATATCCAAACATTCCCCAATAGATCTGGAGTCACGGGTCTAGAGCCTCTAGATGTAACCGAGTAATATATCCAAAGTAATAAAGAAGTCTAGGATATGGAAAGACAAATGAAATAAAGGGGAGGAGTCGGGTCCCGCGGACGTCAGGCAGCTACCTCGACAACTCCTGAAAATAAACTTCACGAAAACGGCAAACAGCTCCACTAAGTCTCCGGAGCACCTGAATCTGCACACATGGTGCAGGGAGTAAAGTGAGTACTTCCAACTCAGTGAGTAATAAACATATATAATGGCTGAAAGTAAGAAATACCGAAATATTACAATATAAAGCTATAATCAGCGATTCAGCATATTAAACGGTGGAACAACAACAATACCAAGACAAGTAAGACAAATAGGTAATAATGCATGAATGCAATGCAATGCACATGACCGCTACGGCGCGCAGCCCGATCCATTTGGGTACCCGCGCTCACTGTGGGGGTTCAGACTCCGGAGGGGCTCCTACAACCCAAGCGCAATATCATCGTAGCATTCGCTGCGACGTGCAGCCCGATCCACACTCAGTCCAGATATATATATATATATATGCATGCAAGCCACTCGGGCACAGTCAAACTGTTCATTTTTAGTTTCTATTATTAGGAGTTATAGAGCTAAGTGTTTAAACCTTTATTTATTTACTAAACATTTCGAGGCAGTGTCTAACTCAGGACTGATATCATGAAATATGCTAAGCATCATGGAAGCAGTGATAAGGATCCCTGAAGGATGCAAATGATAGGCACAAAGCCCCAAACATATTCATAAAATCCAAGTAGGATGATTACCAAACAATTTCTAGTCAAGAACACAGTACGAACATCAATCGGAACGGACTAGGTCACAATCCCCAGTCACAATCGACCCCGCACTCGTCATAGAGTACGTGTCTCGCCTCAATATAGCGTCACAATGCGATATACCGGGGTTTCAAACCCTCAGGTCATCATCTACATCTATTACTCACCTCAAGCCGGCCACAAGTCTAGCTCGCTATGCCTTTGCCTTACGAATCAATCTCTTCGCACGCCGAATCTGATTAAAACCACAACGAATACATTACAATAGGCTAAAGAAACATAACCCAATCGAAAAGACTCGAAAAATACCAAAATTCACGAAGTTGGCAAAACCCGAGCCCCGGGCCTACTTCTCGAAAAATTACGAAATTTACATCACTGGATTCCTCGTCTCGCCACGAGTCTACACATACCAATTTTACCAAAATCGGAGTTCAAATGCCCTTTCAAAGTCCATTTTTACATCACAGCTTTCCAAGCCCTAACTTGACCCGTTTTTGATGAATTTTCCACAATTTACATGTAGTTTCTACCATAAACTCGAATAATTAGGCCAAGAGACTTACCTCCAATTGATTCTCAGTCAAAACCCTCGAAAATCCTCGCCCAAAGCTCTCCAAGTCGCTTAAAAATGGTGGAAACTACCTCTTGTTCGCGGATGAAATTTAATATTTTAAACCCTTCTGCCAACAGCGATTTTCGCTTATGCGGTCCCGCTTCCGCTTATGCGGGACCGCTTCTGCGGCCAAAAATCCACTTATGCGGTCTTCACTTAAAAAGCCAACGTCCGCTTTTACGTCTCCTCATCCGCTTCTGCGAACCACTCAAGACCGCTTCTGCGGTTTATAGTCCGCTTCTGCGGACTCGCATTTGCGGAAAATGTTCTGCTTTTGCGGAAACACTCCACCAGGCTACGAACCGCTTCTGCACTCCTGTACCCGCTTCTGCGGAACCGCTTCTGCGCTCCTGTACCCGCTTCTGCGGAACCGCTTCTGCGGTCCATTTCCGCAGAAGCGGAAATACCAGATGACAGAAAAACTGAACCTGCAACACACCTCAAAACGCTCGTTTAACCACCCGAATTCACCCCGAGGCCCCCGGGACCTCAACCAAAAACACCAACACATCCTAATACCTTATTCAAACTTGCTAGAACCCTCGAAACACTATCGTTAACATCAAAATCCTCAAATTTCATCAAATCAAAGCCTATGTTTCTTAAAAACCTCCGAATTGCACATTCGATCAAAAACCCAACCTAAACACCTCCGAATGACCTGAAACTTTGCGCACATATCCAAAATCACCTAACGGAGCTACTGCAACTCTCGGAATTCCATTCCGATCCTCGGATCAAAATCTCACCTATCCACCGGAATTCGCCAAAATGCCAACTTTGCCAATTCAAGCCTAATTCTGCTCCGGACCTTCCGAAATCATTTCCGATCGCACTCCTAAGTCATAAATCATCTCCCGAAGCTAACCGAATCACCGGAATTCACATCCGAGCCTTCTAACTAATAAGTCAACGTTCGGTTGACTTTTCTAAACTAAACCTTCCTTAAAGAGACTAAGTGTCTCATTTCCTATCCAAACCAATTCAATTCAACTCTAACTCACCCGTTGCTGATAATAAAACATGAAAGAGCAGTAAATGGGGGAAACGGGACTGTAATACATGAGACGACGGGTTGGGTCGTCACACCGCAACAGGTGAATTGATATGGTGGAATAACAGTGAATTTGTACTGATATGGTGGGATCGGGTTGCACGCCGCAACATGTGAAATAAGGGTGTATTTTTTCTCAGACAGCTTTATGTTTTATTCGGACCTTTATTTGTACTACTCTAGTAGCTAGTGCACTTGTGACACCGGGTCCAGGGTTGTATCAGATATTTCAGTTGTTATGGCTTCCGCACTTTACTTCAGATTATTACAGTTATTTCAGCTTCTTTCTTATCATTTAATTTGAACTGTTGAAAATGGATAAATTATTCTAACGTTGGCCTGTCTAGCGAGTAAAATGTTAGGCGCTGTCACGGTCACAAAGGTGGAAATTCCGGATCGTGACAGAGACAGAAAAATAGATCAGAATATCTTACCTTATTGCTAACATCAAATTTAAGTGTCAAGATGGGCCGAATAAATATGCAATTGGGTGTCACCATATGTAGCCCAAAGACAAGGTTATTTGATGGACTGGATTTTTCAGTCTTCAATCCGAAAACATTAACAAATGCTAGAAAGTTTCAAAAAAAAAAAAAAAAAAAACTTTAAAAACAGAATGAATCGAACCGAATCAAAATTAATAAATGCCTAAGTTTTGATATAAGCTCATAGTAGCGAGAAGATCAGGACGATACAAGGCATCATTCTGCTTGAAATAAACTAAATAGGAACAATTATCACATGCCTGTAAATTAAAACGGAGGGACTATAGCTTTTTTTAATCAAAATTGACTTTTAAGATCACTTGAGAAGGTTACAAGCAACAACAAATAATAACACAATAAGGAGCCACTAATTTATTTTATATATTTCTCACAAAATTATAACAATTTGATACCTTAGCTTATTCTCTACAAATGACTAGCCATAGATTTAATTGCAGTACACAAATTTTGTAAAGATAAACTATCTTGTTTTAGCTTCTCATCTTCATCTAATTTTTGTTTCGAAAAACTATTATCACATGCCTGTAAGTTATATATTGATTGTGACAAAAATTCAAATACATCTACAGTATCTTTGTGGAAAAAAGCACCTTTTCCAAAAATAATACGCATATCAGCATCCGTATAATGCGCCGCGCACTGCTGGTATAGTCCCTTTAGGGTGGGGTCCGCCGCGTTATCACGGAGTGAAAACACCATACTTATTGTTGATTTCACGAGAGGAATGGTCAGGTTGAAAGTGATCGCGCCAAGAGTTTCAAGATTTGTGGTTTTATTAGAGCGAGGATCTGATCTTATAAGTTTTTCGCACAGAGAAGGATCGAGTGCATTGACACAAACATCAGTGACTAAATCTCCCTTCACATTTGTAGATGTGAAGAGGAGGATGGATAGAAGAAAAGAAACAAGAAATGAAGTAAGGAAAGAAGAAGCCATTTAAATTATTTTACTTAGTTTCGTCACAAACTTAACAATGGTTATGATGCAATGACCCCTTTTTATATTAAGGAATTTTTTTTATTGAAAATCAATTATATGCCTAATTTGTAACCTGATTATAGATTTTCTTACTACTAATGTAGATTTTGATTATTTATACCTCACTTCAGTCAATAAAAGTATACTTATTAGTATTCGCGCGATGCGCGAACACAAATATCAAATTATGATTTGAGCTATTTGAATTATATGCAAATTACCTTAAAATTTAGTCCTTCCAGAAAAAAAATTACATATAATCATTAAATATCAATTAAGAAGCAGGCCATGAAAAATAACACTACTACAAAAAAGATTTTTAGCGGCAATTTATATACTCTTTAGCGGCAATAAAAATTGCCGCTAAAAGATTTACCAGCAAATAATCTTTGGCCAGTGTAGCCAGTGTCGCTAAAGGGTTTAGCAGCCATTTCTTGAAATGCTGGTAAAGATCCTTTTTATTGCCGCTAAACGTACCTGAGTTTTAGCGGCAATTATTTACCGGCAGTTAAAATAAACACTAAAACGCTCCCACGAAATCCAACATCATATATTTTATGGCTTTTGTTATTGCCGGTAAAGACCCATTCAATTGTCAGTAAAAAGAGCCGTTTTAGCGGCAGACATAATGGGCGCTAAAACTATTAATGAATTGGTTATATATATATAAAGGCTTTTGTTATAACCAGTAAATATTCATCTGATTGCCAACAGAAGAGGAGTGCTTAACAAACTTTCTTATTGCAATGAAGCATTAAGAAAGGTTCCTTCAATAACCTATAATGCACATTATGCATATTCAAGTTCAATTATAATAAGATTCATTCTCAAAATGTTAATACACTTCATCAAATTCACAACAAAATCTACTAATCCATAATTTCAAAGTGTCAACAACATAACCAAAAAGGTAAACTATTTGAATCTGATAAATAGTGTGATTTGCCCTCTAATAACTATCAATATCAAATTACTACAATACTATACAATAAATGGCGCCATTAAAGTTTCTCCAAATCTTGATCATGATGAAATCTTTCACATGCCAGATATCTGAACAAGTACTTAATCTCTGGCTTACTATCCGAAGAATAGTTGTTTGGCTTCCCATATCATATATACCTCGCCACTAGTCTCATGAGATATATGCCTTGCATTATCTTTACAAAAAACAAATCAAAGCATGAAATTAGTATTTATTTACATGTGTTTGTGAGCACGTGATTTTTGCCCTATATGAATTACTCCCATAAATTCAAAACAAAATAATTTTTTTCATTATTTGCAATTTTGTGGCATTTTTGTGTTAATTGCTTGCATTTGTCTGTGCATATTTTAATTAATGAAAAAAAAAACAAATACAAAAATACTTGGCATTTGCATTTAGGGTTTAATTTTACATTTTAGGATTATTAAAAAATTAATTGTCTTATACAATGGGAAAAATCAAAAAAAAAAAAAAAGAATAGTTTAATTTGCACTTTTAATTTTAGCTTTGATTTTAAGTATCTTTTCTGTTAATTTGTCTTTTATTAATTATCATTTTAGGTTTAACTAGTTTTTTTTTTAAGTTCTAGGAATTAATTTTGATTGTTAATTAAGTTTTGAAAAAAAAAAAAAGAAGAAAAGAAAAGGAGAAAAAAAATGAAAGAAAGAAAGAAGAGCAAAATCATTTGGGCCAGTTCAATTCCTCTACCCCAGGCCCAGTCTCTCCCCTCCCAAATTCGGTCAAACCAGCCCGAACCCATTCCCCATACCCGGTCCAGCCCCCCCATGAATCAAAACGACGTCATTTTGAGCAGGATCAATCCCAGCCGTCGAGGTTTGATGATCGGACGACTGGGAAGCTTAGGTTAATTAATATATAAGTGTCCAAATCAACCCTACCCCCCTCAGACCCCCCCAGGTCCCGTCTCTCACCGGTCCATTAGAGACCAGCTCAACCTCGCCGTCCTCCACCATGCACCGCCGGCCGGAAATCGCCTCTGCCGGCGGCGATCGCCCAAAGCCCCCCAAATTAACACCATAGGCTCGCCTCGACCTCCTCAACCCCAATCTACCATTGATTTACCTCAAAACTTCCCCGAACCTCTCGAATCTGTGAAACCCTAGCCGCCGCCATGAGTCTCCACCGTCGTCTGGTGGCGGCGTCCCTTCAAATACCACTCAAAACTCAGTCAGACAACCTCCCCTCTACCTCACTATACCCCCTGTACCTTTCGCCCTTTCATTTCAAATTTAGATCCTGCTCCTCTGTGAAGCTTCAAAATCGATTTTGGGGTTAAAATAAGTGTTGGACATTTGTTCTCACGAGAGCAAAACGACTAACACTCATTTTCGCCTCAAATCGGAGTCAAAAGAAGTCCAGGCAGGTCATCGTCCCATGATTAATTTTATTAGGTATTTTCTCTATTCCTCATTGTTTCTTTTTCTCTTCTCTTCATTCTCTTTTGTTCATATTCATCTCCTCCCTCGTCATGTTTCAGAATGCATCTCAATTACATTGGGTCTGTTTCTTTTCATTTCTTTTTCTAAAATGCTAGTCAATATGTGTTGTAGGTTTAAAATTTGAGTCATATTAATAATCTTCAGTATTTTAATGTGTTTGGATTTTTTTGTTTCATCAGTATTTTGATTCCATTTTTGGCTCGTTTCTATGTGTTGCTAAAATGACTGAAATAATTTGGGTTTGCTTCTTTGTGGCCTGGGATGTTTCTTATCACGTTTTGGGGCTGCTTGGGTTTCTGATTCTTGTGGGGTAGATTTGGGTTTGAAATTTGACTCGTTTATTCAGAAAATTGGGTCATTGACCCACGACCCATACCCATAGGTTTCAGGGGTAAATATCAGGGGAGTTCAGGGGTAGGTTGGGTAGTTTAGTTAGGGAATATTGCAGTAACAGATTGGGAAGCCCCTAGAAGCTTCTAGTATGGGGTCTAATTTCATTTTCAGGCTTTTGGGTAGTATAACTTGGCCAACAAGTCATAAAATCAGGGACCTAAGGGGCAAAATAAAATCTGAGGATTGCCCTATGGCTTGGCCTATAAAAGCATATCATTCTTGCCTTTGAAGGCAAGGATAGAAGTACTGAAAATTCTAAAAAGTTCGAGGCGGCTGAGTTTTCTAAAAAATACTGTTCCATTAAAATTTTCTGAGATCCTTGAGGTGTTCTTTGTTAAAACGATCTCTGAATAGTCAGAAGTTGAAAATGAGTTGAACTTGGTTTGATATTCAAGTATTTGGGTCAGCTTTGTTTCGATTTTGATAGCTGGTTTTACTGATATATTGCTGGTTCAAGTTTGGGTTTTAAGTTGATCTTCCTCCGTTATTCCTGGGCTATTTTGCTGCTGAAATATTGTCCCTGCTACTGCTGTTGCTAAACCTACTGTCTCACTTCTTCTTTGTTTCTTTCTTCTTCCAGGTACAAANCCTAAGGGGCAAAATAAAATCTGAGGGTTGCCCTATGGCTTGGCCTATAAAAGCATATCATTCTTGCCTTTGAAGGCAAGGATAGAAGAGCTGAAAATAGAGAAAAATACAGACGGCTGAGAACTTTTAGAAAATACTGTTCCATTTGTTTTTGGTTTCTAAGGGTTTCAATTACTGAAACACATTTTGGTTCACCTAGGGAAAAATGGACTGAACTTGGTATTCTTGGGGTCTTGTTGTTGGTTTGGCTCATTTGTTTAGAATCTCTGGAAAAACTACTGAATTTGTACACCTGAGTAGAGAAGAAATGGTTTAAGTTGGTTTTGAAGTCAGTTTTCTGAAGATTTTCTACTGTTCCATTGGTCTATCTTGTGCTGTTCATTATTCATTTGGTCAAACTCGAGCTAACTGCTGTTGCTCACTGCTGATTTCTTATTTGCTGTTGTTTCTTGCTTCCCAGGTATTTTTCTATCTACGAGCAACAATGTGAATGCTGATTATGTAATTCAAGTAGAAATTTTATGGAATACAAGATGTGTTTGCTTTGTTTTCCTTACTATTTAATTCCATGTAGTAAATCTGTAATAGTAAGTGTCAAATGAGTTGTTACTGGTGTACTGTGAAACTGGGCTTGTATCTGGAGTTAATCGCTTGGTTTCGATGCTAAATAGCGAGTTTGGAAGGTGTATGAGCAGGTTTTGTAGGTGTTTTGTTGTTGGTTGTTTATTATAGTTTGAATGATAGGTGAACAGCTTTGGTGGGTTATGATGTAGCTTAGTGTAATTCTGTTTAAGTAGCAAATTTTCATGTTGTATTTAATGCTGGATTGTTAGACTCACTAGATGTTTGGACTCTGCTTTGTCATTTCAGCTCTAATGTGAGTTAAGTTTCTTGTAATTGATGTGTCAAAAGAGGTTCAGTGTTCTGAGTTTATATTTACTTGATTCACCCATCCCTATATCCCAAATCAAAGTACCTGCGAGATATGTGTGTAATTGAAGAACTGTGATTCAAGTAATGAATTTATGGTTCAACAAATCTCAAAATTGTGAGTTAGGTGGGTTTTCATTGTTACCGATAAATTTACTATTAGGATTCAAAGGTTGTATAAGGTGTTGATAATTTAGGTTGTTCAGGGATGAGTGAATTACTATTATTCGGCATGTTCAAGCGTTTTTTTTTGGGGGCAGCTCTTTATCAAATAATTAGTACACTGTGATCGTTGTTTAGTCACGACGAATTTGGGTCAATATGCATGCTGAAATGAATTTGTCTCTGGTTTAGTTAATTTGTGTCAAAGGATTTAACTCATAATTCAAATCTGTTAATTAGACCTCGTGCTTATGTGTTAATATCAATTATGCCCATACTACGGTGTCTTGGGTGAAAGCCATTCGGATCGTAAGAACCAGGCCTAACGAGGGCCCAGTTATAATCTCTGCCCTTTCATGAGCATACCCCTGGGACTGGCTTCATCTGGAGCCCAATCTATTTTTATGCAATCATTCTGCAGCATGTCTATTCACATTTGGTTTATGGAACTGGGCCAATGTCAAATTCAGAAGCCCAAAGCTGGGGAAATTCTAGTAGAAACAGCAGTATTTTCCTTCTTCCTGGGTTAATCTTGAAGCCCAAAAATGCTGAAAGTTTGAATTTGTGTTATGTTTGTGAGATTAATTCTTATAATACGGGGTTTGGGCCTTCCGAGCTAGGTAGCATATTTGAATTAGGAGGCTTTCCTCTTGTTCAAGTATGGACCTGAGTTTGAAGCTCGAATTCCGCGAAAGGTCCTCTAATAATGGTAATTAATGATGCTAATTAATTAGGGCCCTTTTAGAGACAACACTTTAATAGAAAATCATAGTTTCTTTTAGGATGGCCTTTAAATAAAAATGAGACGAGCCTCGCCGCACAAAACATATAAATTGCGGGGCCCTCATTAAATGCTTATATTGAAATACGTAGAATTCGGGACGTGCCGTTTAGCGAATTTTCACGGCCTCCCGCAAAGATAATGACACGTTAATCGCTTTAGGCGCGCTTTTTTTTTAATAATTACTTTCCTAAATACGGGTGTGCATTTCATGCAACCCAAATCGAAATCCCAAAACGTTGGATAAAAATGTGTAGAGGATCCGGGTGCATTTCATGTGACGTGATCCGAAAACACGTTTTGAAACGACGTTCACTTTCTTAAAAATTGACTAAGAGCAGTAAATAATTCTAAAATTGCACTATAGGTTCTAACATGTATAAAAATCAGATTTTAGCCAAATATAGCATTTGAGCGACCGTGCTAGAACCACGGAACTCGGGAGTGCCTAACCCCTTCTCCCGGGTTAACAAAATTCCTTACTCAGATTTCTGGTTCGCGATTGTAATATAGAGTCAAACCCTTTCCTCGACTCGGGATTCAAACCGGTGACTTGGGACACCATAAATCTCCCAAGTGGCGACTCTAATCTCTTAATAAATGAATCTCGTTTCGATTGTCCTTTAATTGGAAAAACTCCTTATACTCCCTTTACAGGGTGTAGCAGCGAAAAAAGGAGGTGTGACAGTGTTTACCACCAACTGCCGCTGGTTCTTGCAGAGGAAACCGTGAAGGGCACTTTATGACTTGTACAGACTTGAGTTGGTCGACGATGGTTCTCATGGTGGGCCTTTCAGACGGATCCTTTTGCAGACATCTTTGAACAATATCAGTCATTGTCCTGGCTTCTTTAGGGGGGAACCCACCTTTTACCTGAGGATCCATGATTACCGATAATCTACAATCATCAGCGAGGAAAGGCCTACTCCACTTGACTAAATTCCTCTCTTATTTTGAATACCGACCATCGAGATTCTTCCGGCCGGTGAGCAGTTCTAGAAGAACAATCCCAAAACTCCAGACATTGCTCTTAGGAGTTAGCAACCCTCTCCAGTGTCTCTTGCGAGAGATTTGCCAGGGCCTGAACAAATGAGTGTTGTTTATTACTTAAAATCTTCTAAGTAAGAAGGTGCAAATAATGTAACCAAATTCATCAGTAGACCGAGAGTAGCCGAAACACAGAATTCTTCTAAAAAAAATACTTTCTCTGTTCCAGTTTATGTGAACCTATTTCCTTTTTGGTCCGTTCCAAAAAGAATGACCCCTTTCTAAATTTAGTAATAATTTAGCTTAAACTTACAATTCTACCCTTAATGGAAGCTTTAATAACCACACAAATACTCTGGGCTCCTTTTTGACTTGTTTAGGACCACAAATTCCAAAAGTCTTCACTTTTTCTTAAACTTCGTGCCCAATCAAACAGGTTCACATAAATTCGAATGGAGGGAGTAGTAATCTACGAGGCATCTTCATCTCTTCTATTAAGAGCCACATCAGCTGAATTTATCAATCACAACTTTTATCAAGACATGCTCCAAAACTAAGACTCTATTGACATACATCTTAAATACATGGAAGACAGAGCTTGCTGATAATCAAACTACTCAATATAGCCCAAACACCTCTGCTAGTCCTCCCAAAACATTGGGTAAAAATTTACATTTTAAGACCAGCATTTTCCAGAGATTAAAGAAATATTGTGTTACTGCAACAGTAAATAAGAAAGCTTACGACTGAATTGCAAGATATCTCTGTCTCTTGTATATTTGTAATGCATCTATACCCTAAGAGCTTTGCACTAAAATCCAATGACAATATCATAGGCCACGCCTCATTATAAAAACTATGAAATTCCATGCTATACAAACACAAAATGACACAGAAAACTACAAGTTTGTGTGATAGAAAAATGGCCTTTGTTGTAGTGGTAAGATATGACTGGTGTGATAAATGCACAACTACTTCAAAATCGATAATCATACAATAGCCTTAAGCACTACCAGAGAAACTTCTAGAATTTGGCAACAAAGCATGCACTGATGAGTCTGGTGAATGTCAATTGTCAAAGCATTATGTTCCTCATTCACTTATATGTTTTTAATGTAAACTTTTAAGCCAACACAAAGGAAGGGAAAATAAAGAACCTCAAAAGAAATTCTAGTTAACAGCAGAAGGTCGATCTTTAAAGATCTCAACAATCTATACTATATGGCAACTGCTTCTTTCAAGTTAATTTTTCATAGAACTGCTTACTTTTGTACTTTAGACTAACAAGACAACATGTTTGTGCTTCCATTCCATTGCAACTATGTGAAATGATTACAATTCAAACTGAATCTGGACCAAGCTAATAGAATATTAAATTTATGTGTTTTAGTTGTCCAACCAATAAGATAGATGTCATTACTTGGTCCTTCATACTTTATTAATTTACTTATGTTCGGTCAATAGAATGAAATGTTTTATGTTTGTTTGGTGTATAAATATTTTGTGCATATTGGTAAACAAATACTAATAATTTCTGCCCAACTTTTTCTTGTTTGACCTTCCGAAATATTATCTTTCAGAAGATATTACACTATTAGATAAATTAGGATACAAACACGTTTTGCTTTCTTTTTTATTAGGGCAATTAAAGAGTACTTCAAACAAGTTCTACTTAGAAGTTCCCAAGGGAGTTAGAAGATGATACCCATTGTATAAAACTTTTTCAAGGATGATATAAAAATTACCTACATTTTCAATAAAAATTACTTTTAATTTCAAGGCAAAGTAAGATGTCATTGGAACCATAAACACTAACCGAATACATAAAAAGTTGGAAGTAGATTAAAGCCCTCAAATACCTTAATGGCAGCTTCCCAATATGTTTTCTTTTTACCACTTGAATGAGGTTCAAAGCTGTCTGTGCCTCCAACTTTGAGTTTCTCACAGAGTCGTCTATCTAAAGTATCTTCACTGCCTTTCTGCTTCCCGCTTTGGTACTTTATATTTGCAGAGTCGAACTACGATAAGTAATAGCAACTTTAGCACTTTTGATGTTTCTCACCTTGGGTATAGGACCATCCTCGTAATCTTTATAACTAGAATTAGAAAATACATTCTTATATATTTCGTTCATACACAAATGAATCTGAGTAAATGAATCCAAGAATCCGGAAGATAAAGTGACAATATCCAATAAGGAATGACTCTGAAGAATACACATGTACGAATATATGATCATGGGAGAAATAGTTATTTGAAATTAATTACCCAAAAAAAATTCACATCTCTAGGGGAATGTCGGACAAACTCAATTCTGCACTACTGATCGAACTCAATAATGATGAAGATGAATAATAGAATAAAAAATAAGGCACTATTGAAGTGTAAATGAAAGTAGATAAAGAGCGGAAGAGGGAAACATTCACCAACATATTACATCAGCTCTCCAATCATATTAAAATTTTAAAAACATTCACCAACATGCTAGAAACAAGATTGAAAATAAGGATTTAATAGCTATTCTAACGGACTATCAACATGACTAAAAACAAGAATTTCATAACTACCAAGGATATTGCAGAGATAGCAAGTTGCAGAACAGGAATAAGAAACACACATTGAAAATATGAAAAAAGAATAGGAATCTTACTTTGAAATGGCATTCATGATGTTTATGTAGCTCGTTCATGGACGTTATTTGCCTCGAGAATCTAGTCAGTACATTAAGAAACAAGTAGAACAAATAAGTATCCTAAGCATATTATAATGTACAATCCTAACTCCAAATTGGCCTTAAGAAAATCTCCACCAAACTCTATGCTAATATCAAGTTATATGTTACAAACTAATTTTTCTCTATTGAACATCATCTTAATGATGTAGACATAAGAATCTTGAAGAGAAGAAGAAGACCAATTTACAATAAAACTAATCTCATTCAAGATGAACTAAGTAACGCTCAGTAGCAGAAACTTATCCACCAGCGGCAGCAGTGGCATCATGGATAGAAAATAAATCTTTTAAGTTTCTAAGTTCCATGAAAACCTAGTACAATTAAAAGTAGTATTTAGCTTTTGCACTGCACTACAAATAGCTTCTCTAGTATCTTGTAATAGTTTCTGATCTATTTGTGCAAGAAGAGAAACATAATGGTATATGAGTGTTTATTACAGTAAAATTCTCACTATCTTTGGTCCTTAACTCTCCTAAGAGCTACATTATACTAGAAATCCAATTAGAACAAAGTAACTTTGGGCATACATGACTTCTAGAATATTCATATATTATAGAGGGTAATAAATAATTAAATATAATGCTAATACATGTACCCAAAAACCTCTTGATAAGCTGTAGGCAAAAACATGACGCCTTTTTAGTTTTCATCTGTTTTATCCCCTAATATGAAGAATTCATATAAAACAATCCAATAACCCTTCTTTGAAGAGAGTAATTTGAATAGATAATTTAACAAAAGAGCAAATTGAAACATGTAGCCCGATTCATATGGCTAGAGTAAGTATTACTTAAGGTTTCAATACTGGCTTTATGGTCTGTATATTCGATTTGTTTGGTACTTATCAGAATAAAATAATTTATTTGTATTTTCTCCTTTCTTTTATCCGCATATGTAGTTAGCAACAATCAAACCTTTCGAACTATTTGAATCAACTACTTATCCAAAGTTGTTTGAATCCACTAACATTTAAAAGCTTTCTTTCTTACTACTTTTAGTTACAGTTCTCAAGATTTGTCTTTTCTTTTCACATCTACAATATTCCGAGAGTAAATTTTATTCTCCGTAGAGAACGAATTCAACAACCAAAGAACGTGACCATTAAATTAAATTCTCCCAAAAATTAATAATAATTCACAAAGCACCTGATGCAAAAAATTATTTGAAAAAAATCTCTAATAGGCATTTTCAATTTATCTAAGTACATAAAACAAAGAGATTAGAAGGGACCTTGAGGCATAACTTTTGGCTTCTTCAGTTTTAAAAGAAAAGGCATGCCCAGTGATTCCAATTCCATTAACGAGTGGCGATGAAGAAGAAGAAGAAGAAGTACAACATCTATGCAGCTGCAACAACGCCTCAACGTCATTGGTTTTCTTCATTAATTTATTGTAGAAATAACGGATCGTTGTCGAGTTGCAGTCAATACAGAAAGAATATGAAGTCGATGAAGTACCAGAGTAATTGATCCATAAAATAGAGATGAATTTTGGGCGTTAGGGATTTAATTGATTTTCATTTTTCATTCCTTTAGGTTCTCAATGAAAAAAGAAATGCAAAAATAAAAAATAATTTGGCGGGAGTGCCAAAAAAAGTCCCGCTCTTGGACTTGTTAGAGTTAATAAAAGACGCAAGCTTCAGTGGCATTTTCTTCTAATTGTCAGTAAAAAGTGTTTATTCTCGGCAAATATTCAATTGCCGCTAACATTGGCCTATACGGAATAAATTAGCGACAATTAACTTATTGCTACTAAATAATTGCCGCTAAAAGCTTTTTTTGTTGTAGTGTAACATGATAGTAAGAATTTTGTTAAAATAAGATGCTCTAACAAGACATATTACAACGTGATATATTTAGTATTCTTTAATGCAAGTACTAAGATCAAAGGTTGGGGTTGTTACAGATAGAAGAAAGAAACTATGTTATCCCGAACAAGATATGAGATACAACTTTATGTGGTAGTAACAAAATTCTTACTACCACATAAAACCCCCGAAGATGGAGGCTAGCTTCGAGGGTTTTATGTGATAAAAATGTACCACCTAGACTTAAGGGCAAATTCTACAGGGTGGTGGTTAGACCAGCTATGTTGTATGGAGCTGAGTGTTGGCCCGTTAAGAAGTCCCATGTCCAAAAGATAAGTGTAGCAGAAATGAGAATGTTGAGATAGATGTGTGGTCATACCAGGAAAGACAAGATCAGGAATGAAGTTATTAGGGACAAGGTGGGAGTGGCATCCTTGGAAGCCAAGTTATGGGAATCGAGGATGCGATGGTTTAGGCATGTGAATATGAGAGATATAGATGCTCTGGCCAGGAGGTGTGAGAGGTTGACCACGGCGGGCTTGAGAAAGGACAGGGATATGCCTAAGAAGTACTGGGAAGAGGTGATTAGGCAGGACATGTCAGTGCTTCACCTAATCGAGGGCATGACTAGCGATAGGAAGGGGTGGAGGTCGAGAATTAAGGTGATGGGTTGAAAGTTACCTCCTTCTTGTTTGTAATTGTATCTGGTACTTTGCAACCACGTCCTTTGTTGTGATGACCCGATAGGTCATCTTATGAACTAAAATCGAATTCTGTGTTCCGAGGCCTTAAAAACCTCATTTTATCCCTCATCGATTTGCGTGCATAGTCCAGACGTGTTTCCGGAAAGCTTTTATGTTGAAAGTTGATAAAAATAAGGAATTTTTCTTAAAAACTTTATTTAAGTTGACTTCGGTCAATATTTTTGGTAAACGGCGGACTCGTGTTTTGACTGCCCCGGTGGGTCCGTATCGAAATATAGGACCTGGACGTATGCCTAGAATCGGATTCGGAGGTCCCTAGCCCGAGTTATGAATTTTTGATGAAACTTGAATTTCTGAAAAGTTATTTGTTTTTAAGAAATTATTGATGTTTGATCTCGTTGGTATCGGGTCCGTATTTTGATTCCGGAGCCCGGTACTAGTCCAATATAATATTTTTGTCTTGTCTGTGAAATTTGGTGGGGAATGGAGAGGTTTGACGTGACTCGGACGTCCAGTGGTAAAAATAGAGATTTCAAAGCTTTCTTGAAAATTCCAGTTGATTTGGTGTTCAATTCGTAGTTTTAGGTGTTATTTTGACAATTTGATCACGCGAGCAAGTTCGTATGATGTTTTTAGACTGGCGTGCACTTTTGGTTTGGAGTCCCGAGGGTCTTGGGTGTATTTTTGGATCTTTGGTTGAGAGAATAGTAAAGTTAAAAAATTTGGGAGTTTGACCATGGTCAATATCGGGTTAAGACGACCTCTTTTCAGTGTTTTGAGTGCGAGAGCAGGTCCGTAGCGTATTTTATGATTGAAATTCATATATGGTTTGTGTTCGGGAGGTTCCGGATGAGTTTCGGGGTGGTTTCGGACAATTTCGGAGAAGTTTCGATTTTCCTGGTTTCTTATGCGACACTGTTCATTAATAATTGCGAACATTTTATGGCAATTGCAAAAAACATTGTTCATTCGCAAATTGCGAACCATTTATGGCAATTGGGAAAACACTATTTATCCCCAGAGGCTTCTCAATTGCAAACGACTTTAAGGTCGAGAAACCCTCACGCAAACAAGACCGGGGTGAAGGAGCGTCAAGGTGCATATGCTCTGTGACTGAAGACGTTCTTCCCATAGTTCGAATGGATTGCAATTGGGAAGGGAAGGATGTAGTAGTCCCCAGGCCCGAGGACGCCTTTACTACCCACATGGAGGGGTACATAAGTGTTTACACTTACCCCTTCACGCTTGGCCTGGTGGACCTGGTTGTTTTGGACTTTTGAAAGAGGTACGAGGTGTGCCTCAGGCAAATCCATCCGTTGTTATGAAGGGATTGTGATCCTAATCCGCTATTTCGTGTAGAAGACCGAGTCACGTCAGTTCACGATCAAAAATCTACTTCGATTATACAGTCCTTGAATTTTTTGAGGGGGACTGATCAAGCTTACTCGTCGGTCCAGCAAGGCCCCCTTTTGGAGTATTGACGAAGGCCAAGACTGAGATCGGGGCTGGCAGGGACGCTTCGTCTGGGTGAAGATCGAGGATTTGATTCCCCTCAAATACATGATATTCCTTGAGAAGTGTAATGTGTCTTGTAAGTGCAATCTCCCTTTAAGCGTCGAAATTCTTTTTTTCTTGAGTTTCTTCCTTCTTATTCATACTTGTGGTCGTGCAGTTGTTGCCCGGGTACTGAATACGGTGCCCCGACTAAAGGAATGGATCAAGGGCATCTGTACTCAGATGCCGTACTCCGAGTATACATGGTGTGGACTCTCGAAGGGCCGATAGGGGGCCCGTTCTCATGGTAAGGCCTCTTTCTGAATAGTTAATACCATGTTTCTATCTCCCATCATACTAACTTCTCTTCCACTTTGTTATTGGAGGTTCGCCTAAGACCACCGAACTCAAGCCTTCGAAAAGGGACGAGGACATGTCCCCGTCCGCTGATCCCTCTGTTGCGGGGAAGGTCGGGGTTTCCACGGAGGAAAAGAAGAAAAGGAAGAGAAAACCTTCGAGCTCCCCGGGCTCCGAGGTGAAGAAACCAAAGAAGAGGGTGGCCCGCAAGCCCAGGAGGAACTCTAGCTCCCAGATGCCGGGTTCCGACTCTCTCCTCCGACTTAGGGACGAGCCAGAGGATGAGCTTATTTTTGTTACCCATAGGACGACTTTTCCTAGGGATCAAGAGGAATCCGAGGGGGAGACTTGTGAGGTCGACCCTCTTCAGACTCAAGAGATCGATGTGGAGACCCTGGGTGGGACTCCCTAGGATACTGGATCCGCTCCGATGGAAGCCCCCGACATAATAGAGATTTCGGGAACACCCTCTTACAGTGAGTCCATGCTCGAGGAGGCCCAAGCGAGAATGGAGAAGTCCAAATGAGGGGGTCCATGGTGCAGACCTCCTTCACTCCTTTTTTGATGGTGTGGACTAGTCTACTTTGGAAGACTTCTCCGGGCTGGGCGACCTAGAAGTTCCGAAGAAGGACACATCATCGGCAGCTGGTGGGCCGAGCTCGAATCTAAAATTAATCAACCAACTCCCCGCTCCGAGTATGGACCCCGGTCGCTAGAGAACGCTTATTTTGACAATCCCGGGGGATGCCCCGGTTTTGTCTGCTCCTGTAGGGATAGCTAGCTACCTCTGATGCCTGGTGGCCGAGGACGACCAGGCGAAAATGAATTAGGTGAATGTACCGTGCCCTTTCGATGAGGCCCAGTAGGCGTTGAACCGGGTAAGGCATCATTACTTTCCATCGATCTTTATTTAGGTTTTGATGTTTCTCAGTTTTTTCATATTTTTGCAGGCCTCATTACTCCATCATGAGAGCTTCATTCGGTAACGGGTTGAGGTCAATCAACTCGAGCTTGAGATCAAGGAGCTTGCCCAGAAAAAGGGACGTGTACAAGATTATTAGCGAGCAACAAGAAGGGGTTGTTAAGAACCTCTAGGCCAAGCTGGATGGAGCTTAGAAAGAAGCATCGGTCTTAAGGCGGGAGGACGCCGACTTGGTTGAAAAGGTAAGAGTTCTTGAAGTTAGAAATGAGGATCCGGTCACAGTGGCTAACAACAATACCTCGCAGGTCCAACAGAAGATTGAATAGATCGACCAACTTCGAAAAGGGGTGGACGATATCCAAGTAATGGCCCACGAGCGGAAAAGCAGGATGGACCTGTTGTCCTCAGAGAAGGAGACCACTCAAGGCCAAGCAGTCTTCGGTAAATGTTTAGCTTTGGGTAGCGAAAGAGAAAGCTGATACACAGGCTCAACAAAATGAGGATCTTCGAGCACAACTGGGCTCGCCCATCTCTTATTGGGATGCCCTTGGTAAAGATCTCGAAATAACAAAGTCCAAGTTGGAAATAACCTCGGCCGATGCTAGCGAGATAGTGGCTCAATACAAGGCCGACGTTAAAGCAGTCGATGCCCTCTTGAAGACCAATGCCGAGTATGTGAAACGGGTGTCTCGAAGGGAAGTCCTCGAAGAGATCCATGCTCGAGGCTTCAACCTATCCTCCAAGATCGAGGAGGCAAAAGACTTGAGGTCGAGGCGATAAATCTATTTGAGCTCGGAAGTGCGGAGGGTCCCGAGGGCTCTGATGAATCCGAAGACCCCGATGGCTCTGGTGACGAATCGAGCTTCAGTGAAGACCAGACGTGAATGCCGTAGGTTTTTTTTTTGTTTTTGTATTCTGTACATATTTTTTGTTCAGTTCGAGGCCGTTTTTGTTGGGCCTTTATAAAGATATTCCGGAATAAAATTTCCCTCTTTTGGCAATTTAATGTCTCTACTATGTTAACATCTTTATCTAATTGAAAATATTTCTAATGACTTAGCACATAATCAAACATAGTAATAAGTCATTTATTTTTTGGAGGTCCGAACAGAACCTGACCTCAATGCAAATTTTGCTCGAAACTTTTAAAAACTCGGAGTAACGAATGCTTTCCCAAGATGTTTAAGTGTTTTTAGACAATCCCTTTGCCAAAGGTTACCCTTTAACATGTATTTTGAAGGCCTTACATTTTGAATACGGGCTTCGGATGTCTCCGAA